TTCGATGTTCAATTATTTACGAAAATGCCACCGCATTTTTTTTAAGTTATTAGATCTGGACATGTGTCGCGCGCTGATTCATTCGCATTTCCCTCCTGAGCACTTATTCGCACCTGAGTGCATCCCTCTCTCTCTCTCTCTCTCTCTCTCTCTCTCTCTCTCTCTATATATATATATATATATATATATATATATATATATATATATATATATATATATATATATATATATGTGATGCGGATCAAATAAAACAAGCTCAACAGGTAAAAAATGCGGATGATTTCTAGCCTTAGATGCAATCCAGATCAACAGTCCAAATTGAATTTTAATTAAAAACGCGCGATGCCATATTTGTGATTTTGAGTAAAATAAGCCAGCTTGTGTTTTGTTTCCGAGTGCGCATTTAATTTGTCATTCTTCGAGTGCACATTTTTTCTTTTTCAAGTGCATACTTTTTCTTCTTCGAGTGCATCACTTTTATTTCAGTACTTTAGTTTCTTTTTTGAGTGCACATCATGGTGCCTTTGAGTGCAAATCTTTTAGCCTTCAAGTGCACATTTTTTAGCTTTCAAGTGCATGATTTCATTTCTAATAGTGCATAATTAATTTGTTTCGAATTTTTCCTTATAGTGTCTTTTTTTTTTTTCTCTCTCCCTTGCCTTCTAGTGATCCTCTTTATGCTTTCAAGTGCTCAATTTAATGCCTAAAAGTGTATGTGTGTCTTACTATTGTGTAAAAAAATAATATTAAAAAAAAAATAAAAAACCTTAGCATTCGAGTGAACCCTTTTGCCTTCAAGTGCACAGTTTTATGCATTCAAGTGCATGTTTCTTTGCCTTCAAGTGCACAACTTCTGGGCATTATTTGTTATATCTTGTGCATTCTTTTCAATAACATATAACTAAATTTCTAATGAAATTTGTGAGATTTACAAACGATTTGTAGGAATAATTGGTTTAATAACACTTAATTAAGTTGAATAACCTCCCTTTTTTGGCACCATAAGTTGCATCAATTGCACATCTATTTGCTTTCGAATGTAACTTTTTTGCCTTTAAGTGCATATTTTTTACCTTCAAGTGCATGATTTTGAGCCTTCAAATGCACCAACCGCATTTTCGCACGGGAAATGACATTTTCACCTACACACAGATCCCATATATAAGGAGTAAAGTTGGTGGGGGAGTGGGGCAACTGCCCCTACTGCTCCCCTACTGGCTGTGCCCATGAATATAAGTGCATATTTCTTGTATAAATAAGGGTATTGTCCTACAATTATGTATATCATCTTCTTCTCTGATATTTCCTTTCTTTGAGCTAATTATCAATTTGATTTATAAGTCAGAAAACTTAATTTCATCATGACCAATTGATGCACGTCATGTTTACATAAAAATAAAAATAAAAAGTAAAAAATCACTTGATGGTGGCCTGGCTTAGCTTGCTATGGTGTAGGTGTACCATGCACTTAATTTCAATTCCAAATAAAAATCCAACTAGTAATTGTCCTGTGCGATGCACGAAATATTATTAATTTAACAAATTTGTCAATTAAATTTTTGACATTCTCTAAATTAGCAAAGAAAGTAATGATTGTGCAAAACAGAAAAACGTACTTGAGTTCTTGAGCTCAGAATTAGTTTGATTAAAAATGTAAGTATAACTATACAATGTAATATTTAATATTTTTAAAAGTTTAATTATGTTATTATTATGTTGATTTTAAAATTTATTCTTACTTGTATTATTATTTGAATTTGATTTTTTTTTTGAAAGGAATTTGAATTTGAAATAACTACTTTAGTTATATAACTAACTTATTTCAATAAAACTTGTAAATAAAATAACAGGCGATATTTGTCGAAAATCTATACCAAAAACTTATTCATTTAAAAAAGATTATTTATGTAAGAACTATATTTATTTTATATCTAATTTCTCCTCTTTATATATGTGGTGTCAAATTGAGGTTTAAATGAATACATACACAAATTATATTAAATATCTAACTTTACCAATACATTTGAACACAATAAACTTTTTTTCCATACTTCATTATGTTTTAATATATATTGAGATAGAGATAGAGATAGAGCTATAATAATAAAATATAATTTATAAAATATAAATACACATAATAACTTCAAAAAAATATGTATAAATACAACTATCCACACAATTAATGCATTCATACTTGCTAATTTTGTTTCTACCAAAATGCATTCACACTTTGAAGAGAAAATTTTGTGGCTAGATTCTGCTTTATTATATATAATATAAAGAAGATATGCATGTGCATTTCACTATATATGACATCCAAAAAACTATGATTTAGGGAAAATGGCATTTTTTCCCCCTAAGTTGTATAATTATAGTACTTTTTCCCCCTGAATTATTTAAGTGGCTGTTTTTCCCCTGAAATGTTAAATGGACACATTTACCCTTAAAATAAATATTTCATTTAATTTTCTTATGCAACAAATTATGACCACGATTTGGTTCAAACCGAATAGACATTATAGCAATCAAACCAAAATATTCCAATTATAATTTAGAAGTGAAATCCGATATTTAGAGTTTATTAAAATCGCGAACCGGAACGGGCGGTTCATGTTCCGAACTGAAAAAAAAAACATTTATTGTTGAATTTAGACTATTTCAAAATAAAAAATGAAATTTTAAAATAAAGACGGTTCAAAATCGTGAACCGGATCCGGAACCGTCGGTTTACGGTTCAGGATCCAGTTTTTTCGATTCATAAATTTAATAAACTGAAATCCAAATATTGGGTTCTGATCTGAATCATAACCGAAAACTTTCAATTCAATTGCTAAAGTGTCTGGTTCAGTTCAAACCGAACCGTGATCATCCCTACGTATACGAATAATTTGTTAGAGAAGAAAAAGAAATAAAATATTTACTTTAAGGGTAGAAATGTCAATTTAATATATTAGGGGTGAAAACTGCCACTTTTAGAATAATTGAGGGGACTTATGTGCTTACATGAATAACGCAGGGGGAAATAGTGCTATAAGTATACAACTTAGGGGGGAAAAGTGCCATTTTCCCCAATGATTTATTTAATAGTATAGTAGGCAAATAAGTCAAGAAAGAGTTGTTATGTTCACATGATGTTGGAAAATGCCTATGTGAAAACTTTCAAAAATACTTTCTTTTGTGACAAAAAAGTCTAATGTAGAATCTAGATTTGCATCCCAACTCATAAAAGCAGTGACAAATGATGCTGAAAGAGATAGGTGGAAGAGAACCCAATTCATTTATCCACTTTATTTATTTATTATTCGGAAAGAAATTACAAATAAAAATCTATCATTTTAAATAAATTTGGATCAGAAAATATCAAAAATATATATGAACATGAGATGTTTCACACTTTTAGGGATGATAACAAATCTAGGGATAAAAATGGAGAAATCATGATCAATAAAATTTCTCTCTATGTATATGTCTGATTGAACACGACCGTTGTCATTGTATAGTATGAGTACTTTAATCTCTTCTATGAAGAACATCATCGAGTACTGTAGGGACTGGGCAAAAAAGAACTGGAATAAGGTACCGTTCAACATATCTTTAGAGAGGAGAACCAAGTCGCTGATAGGTTGGCCAAAAAGACAGAGTAAAAAAGATATCAGGTGGATTGATTGGGAGGAACCCCGCCAGAACTGTCCATAGTTCTTTATGAAGACAAAGAGGGTTGCCTTGTAATCGTGACATTAACATAGGGTGTTGAGTTGTTGACACCAAGCTTGGCCCTCTTCTTGATACCCCAAAAAAAAAAAAAAAAAATCCTCTTCTAAATGATTGGCACAATACACATTCAGTAACTATCATGTGCAATTCTAGTTTCTTAATTGAATATGTTGATCGGGTTTACGTGCAAATTCCCTACAAACATGTTGATCAGATAATATGTAGGTCTTAGGTTAACTTCATATGTAACTATGTAAGGCCAAAACAATTTGAACTGACTTTAATTTGTTCTTGAATATAATCAATTAAGTTCTCCATTTAAAAATAGCTTTTTATTAGTCATTTGTTCTAATTATCTCATAAAAATAAAACATAATTAAATAATTAATTATGATATATTCATTTTTAAAAGGAATTTGTTGCAAATTGTTTTCACAAGGGTGCTTGTCAGTTGTCAAATTGAATGAAGAAACTGTCCTCGGCTGTCGGCTCCCAACAAATTAAAGATTTTTCTTCCTCTGCCGATTGATATTTTGTCACTATTCTTTAACACCATGCAAATCCTATTACACACCAACCCCAAACTGCCATTAAAAAGACAAAATATATTCAATTATTAATTCATATTCATATCATATCAATATTGGAAAATGATATGATAGGGAGGTTACACTAATCATATTAATCCACAAGGTCCTAATAATATATTTTAGCACGACACGTTGAACGCAACCTCTTCTGTTCTGGGAACACGGTGATGTCATATAGGTCAAATCCTTAGACCACATAAAACTTGATTAATGTTAGATAATGAAGATCTATCATCCTTTTGTTAATTATTGTAAGGAGGAATATGATTGCGTAGGTTGGGATGATTGAGTCCGTAAATTTTATTTATTTATTTTTAGAGAAAATTACACTTTTGGTCCTATGACTATAGTGGAGGTGGTAATTTCAGTTCGTGACTTTTAAAAGTAACAGATTTAGTCCTTTTAGTAAACTTTTTTTTACACATTGAGTCCTTCCGGCTAAATTGCCGGTAGAAATCCGCCGGAATGTCAATTGGATTTGTTTATTAATTTTTTGGGAGGGGTAAAATCGTCCGTTCAAGTCATAGAAAAAGGGGGGGGGGGGGGGGAAACGGATTCCCATTTCCCACCTTAATCAACCTCCACGCAACCCTAATTTTGTGTGCAAGTAGTGGGAAGACAGCAGAGAAGCGTGAAGACAGTGTGGAAGAAGGAAGAAAGCGGGAACAAAGAGAACTCTTCACTTCGCCTACTGCAATGCGTAAATCATTGGCGACTGGAACGGGTTCTGCCCCAAATACGCTCCAACGAAGTAAGTTTGAATAATTTGTAACTGTTTAAATTGTATGAATTTTATAGTGAATGAGTTTGTGTTGTTTGTGTGGAGTGTTTTTTGTGGAGTTGAATGGAAGTTGAACATTTCTAGGGTTTGCCGTGTGGGTTATATATGCATAAAGCATAAAGGAGTTTGTACTTGTGTCTTGTGTCTTGTAATGTGGGGATCATTTTCTGTAGGTTGTTTATTATTGTTAGTATGAATTCTGATGAGTATGGGAAATTGTTGTAGTGGTCTGTGGGGACCAATACTACTGATGTAGTTACTGATTCTTGTCATGTGCATATATAGGGTTTAGGGTTGTTATTCTGTGGGGACCATTATGTTTAAACTTTTTGTGGTCAGGAATCAGTTTCATATGACTATTGTTTTTCTGTCTTGTGGGTACCACTCTGTTGACTGTTGGCTTTACAGGAGATGGTGTTGGCACATTTGAAGTTGTCCTTTTCTATAATGGGATAGTAAATAGGGTTGGTGAAGTTAAATATTTGGGTGGTGATGTAGAACTGTATGAAAGAATGGAAGCTAATGAAGTGTGTCTAGATGTGTTGAAGGATAAGATAAAACAGTTAGGGTATAGTGAGGTTGGTGCCCTGATTTATTGTTATTGAAATGATAGTTTGAAGTTGCTACAATCAGACAATGAGGTACAGAGATTGGGAAGATGAGATTGAGGTACAGAGATTGGGGGTAGATGAGCAGGTTGATGTAGGGACTGGGGATGATGGCCAAGTTGTTGATTTCACTGTAGAGGATGATAAAGTATATGAGCAGGTTGATGTAGCTCAAACAAAGAAAAAGGTTAAGAATTTGGATGACATCTTCTTTTCTGATGAGGAGTCAGTAGTGGATTCTGATAGTGATGGTGATGGGGAAAGCAAATGGCCCATATTTAGAGCTGCAACAGACATGAAGGACCCCCATTTCACTTTAGGCATGACATTTGCTTCAAAACAACAGTTTAGGGAAGCAGTTCAAAATTATGCTTTCAATAATGGCAAAGAAATTAGAACTCTAAAAAATGACAAGGAAAGGGTCATTGTTAAGTGTACACAGGAGGGTTGCCCTTGGAGAATAGGGTTGAGGAAAGTAATAGGGTCATTTGCATGGAGGATTTTGAACATGGTAGATGAACATGAAGGTTGTTCTTGGGATTGGGAGAACTCAATGGTGAAATCAAGTGTTGTTGCTAAGAGGTGGGCAACTCAATTAAAAGATCACCCAGATTGGATGATGAGAAAGTTCAAACATAAGGTTTGCACAGAGGAGGGATTTTATGTGAGTGATTCACAAGCATATAGGGCTATTTGGAAGGCAAAGAAGATAAGAGTAGGTGATGAGGAAGCCAACTTCAAAAAGATTTGGAGTTATAGAGAAGAAGTCTTGACAACAAATCCCGAGTCATCATGTCTTGTTAAGTTGAGTGACTTAAAAGATGGAAGTGGGCAGGAAAGATTTCTGAGAATGTATGTTTGTTGGAAAAGCAGCAAGGAAGGCTTCAGGATGTGTAGAAGACTGATTGGGGTAGATGGTTGTCACCTTAAATATGAAACTGGAGGGATGCTTCTGACTGCTGTGAGTATAGATGCAAATGACTGTATATTTCCATTAGCTTATGCTATTGTGGAAGGAGAGAAAAAGGACTCTTGGATATGGTTTCTAAGGCTGTTGAAAGATGATATGCAGATAAGTGATACAGAGGAGGATGAGTATTGCTTCATAAGTGACAAACAGAAGGGTCTAATTCCAGCCTTTGATGAAGTGCTACCTGGTGTGGAAAACAGATTTTGTGTGAGACACCTACATGCAAATATGAAGGTGGCAGGTTTCCAGGGTAAGGCTATTAAGGATGCATTATGGACTTGTGCTAGGGCAAACACTGTAAATGCTTACACTGATGCTTTGTATAAACTAAGGAGATTAGATGAAGCTGCATACCAATGGTTAGGTGATAAAAGCCCAACAGAATGGTCTAGATCCCACTTCTCTACAAAATCCCATTGCGACATGTTAGTGAATAACATTTGTGAGTCTTGGAATGCCTCTATAATGGAAGCAAGGGACAAGCCTATCATTGAGTGCCTAGAAATTATAAGGAAAATGATTATGGCTAAGTTGTTTGAGAATATACAGAAAGCTGCAGAATGGAAGTCCTTGATATGTCCTAAGATTGTCAGGAAGTTGAAGCAAATAGAGAAGGCTGCATCTGGTTACTTAGCAACACAATGTGATTTCTTCAAGTTTGAGGTTAGACACTTATATGGGGATCAACAACAAGTTGACCTTGAAAGAAAACAATGTTCTTGTAGGAGGTGGGAGCTGACAGGCATTCCATGCAAGCATGCAATATGTGCTATATGGAAAAAATTTGGGAAAGGTGGAGTGTTTGACTTTGTCCATCCATGCTACTCAAAAGAAACATATATGAAGATATACAGTGCAAGTATCAACCCAATGGCAGGTCCTGCTGAGTTACCTAGGGGTGATACACCACCCCCATTGCCACCCTTGTATTCTGCCAAGGTGATTGCTTGATTGCTGACCCTTATCCTTTAAATCTCTGCTGGATCAAAACTGATTTCATTTGTTGGTGCTTTTCAGGTTGGGAGGCCCAAAAAGTTAAGGACAAGATCAGCTGCTGAGTTGACCCAAGATGGAAATAGAGTGTCAAGAAACCACATTCAACTGCACTGTTCTGTATGTAGGGAAGCTGGGCATAATGCTAGGAAGTGTCCATCTAATCCAAATAAAAAGGTGTAGTATTATATTATGTTGGATTACAGTAAACTGTATATAAAACAATTGTAACCTAAACTCTATGTTTTTCAGTTGAAGCCAAAGAAGAGGGTCATCTATGCACTCACCAAATCCCCATCAATATGCCTACAAGAGAGCACCAGAGTGGATTAGGACAGCAGATGCATGGCCAAGAGGAACATAGTGGCTTAGGGCAGCAGCAGGATCATGATCAACATGGCCAAGGGGAACATAGTGGATTAGGGCAGCATGAGGTTGATGCCCAGCATGGACAAGGGGAACAGAGTGGATCAGGAGAACCTCAGATGAACCAACAACCAGCCAAATCCAAGAAGGGAACCAAAGTGAAGCAATCAAACAGGAAAAAGCCATACTATACAAGGAGCAAGACTGTGTTGAAGTCCAAGTTCTTTGGCAACCATGATAACCCAATTGACATTGAGTGAATGCATGTGAAGTTAGTTTGTATGTATGTTTTGATGAATTTAGTTTGTATGTATGTTTTGGTAACTGATTTGGCTGCTAAATGATTACAAACTGTTGAAAGCAGCTTGTTTTGGTCATAATGTATGATAACTATGAGATTATGGTATGCAGTGTTTTGGTCATAATGTTATGCTCTAACTGTTAAATCATGGGCTTTTACAGTGTTGCTAAAAGAGTCACACATTGCTGAATTGTAAACCAAAACAAACTATCATCCTTACATTAACAAAATAAACCATCATCCTTACATTAAGTAACCAAACCATAAATCTTACATTAACACAACATACCATACATCTTACATTACCATGATCCTTACATCACCAACCATTCCACAATTCTAAAATTACCAAAACACATTACAAATACTGAACACTTCTTTGGATCAGTTCACTAGCAAAACTTACAACCAATAATTAGTGCAACTATTACAACAAAAACTGCTACAAACTTGTTCATCCACTTAGAACTACCAACCACTTTGCCTTCATCTTTATTACCTTTAAGCTTCATATTTAATTTCTGTATCTCTTCATCTTGTCGGTTGATGCGTCTTAGCAATCCCGGAATTATTCTCTTCGAACGATAGCACATTGGAGGATCATACCAATCAATAAATCCACATCCCACATTACCCTGGATTAATTCAAAGAACATTTATTCAATTTCATTCATACATCCGGTACAAAAATTACAAAAACTTGTAAAAACAAAAACTTACAATAGCACCGGAGCATTGCCAAAATCTACGACCGGGATTTTCATTTGTCCATGAAGTTCGAATTTTCAATTGTTCACCACATCTACAATGGATAATTGGAAACCTTTCCCCAAATTCATAGTACTCAGTAGCAGAATTAGAAGAACAAGAAGAATATGAATTAGCCATACCCAGGACGACCTGATGGAGAATGGAGCGTGCGAGTGGTGCGACTGATTGCTTCTCTTCCACTTCGTCTCTTGCTTCCTTCGCTTCTCCCAGAACTGAAAACCCTTCTGCGTGTAGTTTAATTAAGGTGGGAAGTGGGAATTCGTGTTTCCCCCTTTTCTATGGCCTGAACGGACGATTTTACCCCTCCCAAAAAATTAATAAACAAATCCAATTGACATTCCGACGGATTTCTACCGGCAATTTAGCCGGAAGGACTCAATGTGTAAAAAAAAGCTTACTAAAAGGACTAAATCTGTTACTTTTAAAAGTCACGAACTGAAATTACCACCTCCACTATAGTCATAGGACCAAAAGTGTAATTTTCCCTTTATTTTTATTTTATAACTCAAATTTCTCAAACTCGTTATAATCTATACTTCTATACTATATATAAAAACAAAATTATGAACTTTAACTTCTCGCCCAACTTCTAAAAAATCTCACTTTCTAATAATTTAATTTTGATACTTAATATTAAATTGTACACTTCAATTCTACTTATAAAGAGTCCAACATAAACTCAAATTCTTTGTATGTGACAGAGATCAAACTCTATCTAACCGCTGGAGACAAGTCTTAAGTGGACTTCTCATCCACTAAATAAATCCTAATTGTTTTCAAATAATTTTTAATTACAATTACACTTAAATTTTAGTGAAAATCCCGTGTATATATATGTGATATAATAGATTCATATATATATTTAGCATAAATAAGAAATAAATTAAATAAAAATAGCGAAATTTCTATATTATATCAACCAAAAGAATCAATTTATAACAAGTAAAAGTTTAAAATAACCAAAGTAGATTCTGAACCAAAATTCGAATATCAATGCAATTTTTTTTTTTTTCAAAAGTGGTTTTCATATATAGATAAAAATAATATGATATGTATTTATATCAATATAATAACAAAATTATTATCAAAATATGAAATTAATTTAAAAAATGAAATTATAAAATTAACAAAATATCTGTTCATAAATATTTAAAAACTTTCTTAAATACATACTTATACTTATGCACTATATTAATCATACAAAATTAAAATGTTAATTTTGTTAATTTTTAAATTTAATTATTTTAATTATGAATCTAGCAATATAAATAATTATAATTTAAAAATTATATTATAGAATTTGTCTATATACATATTAATAAATACTAGTATTTTCACCCGTGCGATGCACGAAATGGATTTGTTATAATATTTTAATAATATTTGGATCAATATACAATTATATAAATTATAACATTGAATATTATATAATGCAATTGAAGATTTGAGTTCGATCGATTGTATTTTATGATATTATCATTGCTTGAATTTGAACAAATAATTACCCAATTAATAGCTAATGTGTATATATACGAATTTGGTGCTGAAACTTTAGAGAATTATATATCAGTGTTTAGGATTTGTATTAATTAGACAAATTTGCTCGTTGTCTAGGAACTCAATTATAGAAATCATTTGCTATCCTAATTTATTTGTATGGAAAATATATTTTCTGTGTAGATATATACCAATTTTGTCATCTTCGCATAAAAAGAAAACATAATATCATTGGTTGGAATTACACATTATTGAAAGCATCTTTGTAGACGACATCGGTAGTAGCAGCAGAATCTTATCCATCTTTGTCTAGAGCTAACATCTTCAGGCCATCAGGATGGGTGACTCAGGAAAAAGCTATGTACAATTGACAGTAATTAAAGACCGGTTTTTCAGCAATAACCCAACGTGAGTTACTGGTTGTCCTGGCTTTTGTTGGTAGTCATTGCATATGCGATCATCAACGGGTATTGTTTATGCTGGAACTTGAAGGGAAATCTTGTATCAGAAGGAGTGAGAGACATTCGGGAGATAAGAACTTTGGTTCCTTCATTAGTCCCATTAACTAGTCTTGCTTCGACAATGTGTTCGGACAATCTTGTGACAAAGAAGCATGTATCGTTGCAAAGACCAATAGAGTGGTCTATATTCTCCAATAACATAACAGGTGCACCAACCTTTAATGTCAATGAATGATTAGGAAGTCCAGACAATCTCAACCTATTTACGAATTCAGGAGTGTGTACTTCTGATAGATTTTCACCATCTAATTCGGCCTTACACAAAGAGTCACAATTTAATATGTTCGACCTTCTACAGTATTCATGTCGTACATGTACTGATTGCAACAACTATTAGTCTAGTTGATTTCGGAATAACGGGAAGAATCTGTCTAAAATCGCCACCTAAAATTACTGTATTTCCGCCAAATGTCTTTTCATCACTACCCGGTATGGCAAACCTCAAAGATCCCTCATGGTTATATCCAAAGCATCAAAACAATGTTTGTGCGTTATCGCTGCTTCGTCCGATATTGTGACACCCTGAAAATCCTATCCTTTAAATAGGATTAATCCTCTCCCCCTAACAATAAGCTTCGTCCCCGAAGCTTGGGTACGTCAAGGGTTGTCAAAAAGGATAACGGTGAACAAAATGTGACATGAATAGAAGAAAAAGATAAACAAGGCTTTAGGCAACAAGCTCTAACCAAGCAAACACAACAACTAACGGAAAACTAACTACCCTTACTGTAACACCCCGTGTTACGACCCCTAAACCAAACTAATTAATTAATTACTTACCCTAAAAAGGGAATTAAAATCCATTAGTTAGCTAAAAAGGGGTCCACCATAGTCCATGGACCCTTATCCCTAAAACCAACCCCTTAGTCCTATAAGGAATAGAATTGGCAAGCCCATACCATTTAGACCCTAATTAGGACTCTTAAACATATAAATAGGGGCATAGGAGGCACCTAGAACCCACACCACAATAACTTTCACCACACAAGAATTTCCAAGAATTCTCATAAGAGAAATCAAGAAAGAAGAAATCTTAAAGAAAGACCATTCATAGCCAAGGAATTTAATTAAGGCTAAGAGGTAACCATGTCTCAACAAAACCTATTTTCTTTGTTATAATCTCCTTCTTTGGCTCTCTCTATATGCTTGTGTCTTGATGAAATCCTTTATGATAATTGTGATATAATCTTGATGATTGATGGGATGCTTTTATGTGTGATCTTGATGATCTTGATGATGATAAGAGGTTCTTGATGTTTGTGTGATGATCCTTGATAAATCTTGATGTTTCTTGATGTTAAAGATAAACTATGACTTTGATGATTTGAATGGGATTAGAGCCCTAGGTTGAATTGGGAATTTGTATTGTGATGTTCTTGATATATATTTGGGGGGAAATTCGCATGTTCAGGTGTTGTTTATGTTTAGAAGTCATGATAGGATGTGTTCTATGTGATTCTTGCTTTTGATCCATTATTTGTCTACGTGGAGTCGTTATTTGCGTTTAAAAGTGTCTAAGCATGGTTTCGGGTTTCACGGAGGATCTCGAGACGTTTATTTTGATAAAGAGTCAGTGGGGGGTAGGGCAACCCGCCACCTACCCACTGGCCAAAGAAGACGCCGCCGGCAGTAGGCAGGCGACTGCCCGCGGGGCACCCGCTGCCCGGAGGAGTATCGCCGACGGGCAGCCGGCATACCAATTTGTAACACCCCCATTTTCCATTAAC